ATGCGTACAGTGTTCTAGACAACTCCAGCTTCTTGTCCATTTGCTTACAACAAGATAGTAGCTAGAAGAATATACTCCAGAAGTTTAAAGTTGTTCCAGCAAGAAATAAGGATGCTGTGGTCTCTGAAAGTCAATGGCACATAATATGACTATAATGACAAGTATAAAATCTAGCTCTAAAAGGATTTCAAACAATTCTATTGAGGTAAAATGACTTGATTAATGATCCTGAGTGTGGAATCTGTAGAAAAAATGAACAGAACAGTCAAAATATGGCATGAAAGAATGGACCATGCAGGCTGAATCTACATTATGGATGCAACTGTCGTTCTAGACAACAGTATCAAAACGAAACTTTGCATACACAAAGATCTACTGATAGGCCAGTTGCATACCTAATTCTGAGCTGTTCTGGCCAGTCCCAGTACTATTATATACCTAGATAGTGTACACCATTTTCCAAACAGCGACAATAACAAGCAAAATATACTTACATTTCAAACTGAAAACTAACCAATTGATTCTATACCTTTTTGCTTCAAGTTTGAGTTTGCTTTTTAGAGCTATAGACTACCCACCATCTTGTAAACTGCACAAAACTAAACACAGCTTTAGCCATCACTTGGCAGCCATTATGACGTCACTTGGAAAATAAAATTCACGTGAGCTTACCGTTGGCGTCGCGACTGCTTAGTGCTCTTTTCTAAATCTTGAAACCTTGCTAAAGCTTTACAGCATTGAGGACACATTCTACCTATTATATTAATTGGTGTTTAATATGTTACAGCACATGTATCTTCCCTACTGTTCCATCAGGATCAGATAAGAGTTCTTGGGCATCAATATCAATAGCTAACTCGACCTATCTGTCTGAAACCAGTCTCTTCCATACTTCCATAGATTTAAAACAAGAGCTGAACATATTATATCGAGTTTTCTTCCCTGAAATATCTTTCCCACATTCGTAACATGAAATAACTGTAGCACTAGTACTTGCTGTAGAATTGGAAGCTGCCATGGCATGCTATAAGCCTATAG